GGAAACCAAGCGGAGACTCGGGGACCGCTTTGCAGAACACCTACGCTTGGTTCGCAATAAACAACTGCACCTCCCAGTCGCGAACCATTTCAACTCCCCCTCCCATTCCTCAGACGACATGTCCATCCTGGGCCTCCTGCAGTGCCACAACAATGCCACCCGAAGGTTGCAGGAACAGCAACTCATATTCCGCTTGGGAACCCTGCAGCCCAATGGTATCAATGTGGATTTCACAAGTTTCAAAATCTCCCCTCCCCCTACCGCATCCCAAAACCAGTCCAGCTCGTCCCTGCCTCCCTAACCTGTTCTTCCTCCCACCTATCCCCTCCTCCCACCTCAAGCCGCACCTCCATCTCCTACCGACCAACCTCATCCCGCCCCCTTGACCTGTCCGTCCTCCCTGGAATGACCTATCCCCTTCCTAACTCCCTACCTACACTCACCTTTACTGGCTCCATCCCCGCCTCTTCGACCTGTTTGTTTCCTCTCCTCTATCCCTCTTCTATCCGCCTCCCACTCTCTCCCTATTTATTTCAAAACCCCCTTCCCCTCCCCCTTTTCTGATGAAGGGTCTAGGCCCGAAACGTCAGCCTCTCTGCTCCTATGATGCTGCTTGGCCTGCTGTGTTCATCCAGCCCTGCACCTTGTTGTCTCTTTCTTTCGTTCAAACGTTTCGTCGCCATGCTAGGTAACATCAGTGAGGCGTCCGATGAAGCAATGTTGTTCTACTCCGCTTGGAATTTATACTGTCTGGTCCATTATGGTGAGTAGTGTCATTTCCGGTTTTGATCTGTATGGATCTGTACATGGGGTCCAATTGTATATGTTTGTTGATAGCATCACGGGTTGAGAACTATCCTGTAGGAATTCCTATGCGTGTCTATGTTTGGCTTGGGCTACTATAGTTACATTGTCCCAGTTAAACTGATGGTCTTCATTGTCTGAGTGTACTGAAATTAAGAAAAGTTTGTAGTGTCATTTTGCTGCTAGCTGATGTTCATGTATTCTGATGGCTAGTTTCCTTCCTGTCTGTCCAATGTAATGTTTGTGACAGTTGTTACCTGGTATTTTGTAAACCACATTGGTTCTGCATGTTGTAGGAATGGGGTCTTTTAATCCTTGAGTGTTTGTTGTAGAGTGGCTGTGGGCTTGTGGGCTACAAACATAAACACGCACGGGAAACATATAGAATTGGACCTCCTCTACAAACCCACACAGATCAAATCCAGAAATGACACTACTCACCGTAACGGACCGGACGGTATAAATTGCAAGCGGAGTAGACCAACGTCGTTTCATCAGAGGCCTCACTGATGATGTTACCTAGCATGGTGACAAAACGTCTGAAGGAAAACGAGCCAGCTCAGCGAGCAAGTCAACAACCTCACCCACAAGCCGAGCTACAAATCTTTGCTAAAACTTTAAACTGCCTTCAGGTTTTGTCTGATCTTAAAAGTAACTATTTATTAAATATTAATACTAAATCTTGCTGTAGGTGGTAATCATTCGCTTATCAGGCTCAGACTTGTAGTAAGGTTGGGTAAGGACTAACCTAACTTCGTGTTCTCAAATTGTCTTCCAACAAGGAGAGAGTTCTTGTGTCACCATAAATAGTGTTTTTCTCCAGTGTTCTGATCCAAACACACTCTTGGTATTAAAACTTAGTGAGCTGCAGCTGTGTGACATCACAACAAGGTTGCTGCTATGTTCCAATCCCTGATACAAATTAAAGTACATGACCATTCCCAGGGATGGTTAAGCAGAAGAGAGACACTGACCACAGCTCTCTACTTGCTGTCCTGGCTAGAAAAGGTGTGTATTAACTGAAGGTCTGAGTTTAATATTTGTTCAAGAAGTCCTCATTAGTTCTTAACTGGTTAACTGCATGTGCCTTGAATTTCTCAGCCACTCATTATTCAAATAACAGGCTGGGGCAGTGCCATTATTTGCTTATTCATTGAATATGGACATTTCTGATGGCCGAGAGAAAGGTGGGGCTCAACCAGTTCTTGAAAGGCTGGATTCTATGTGGTAAAGTTGCATTATTTACCCAACGGCTATGACTTGGACTAAGCTGTGACAATAATACTGGACAAGTCAGATCCCAGAGTGACATGTGGTTCAATACACCATTAGTCTTATTTATCAATTTATTTACCAGAGTGGGCAGTCACCTGAATACATTCACAAGAGGTTGCAATATACTTTTTTTGCAAAAGGGGAAAACCAAGCCATATTACACAATTTAAGAACTGTTTGAAAGGGTTTCGTGACAAATAAAATGTCAACCTTGCAGTTCCTCTGATGCTGCCTGGCCTGCTGTGTTCTCTGACTCCAGCATCGGCAGTTCTTACTATCTATAAAGATGCAGCTGTTTTACCCTGAGCACAGCCTTACATCTACTCACACTGCAATGAAGGGTCACCCAGTTTCTATAGTTGTTTTTTCAGTTAATATGATTGTGCTTGGTCTTGTTTCCTGGCAACTTCTGCATCACTTGATGTTGTTGAAATAACTACAGAGGCCAGTATCCTATCACCAAGTCACCCTTTGTTTACATCTGGAGAAACCTTGACACCATCAGCTCCATCAGGGCTAGCCCTCAAAGTGATTGGGCTGTCTGGCATACCTCTTATCTGTCAGCCATAGCTCTCTGATTGGACAAGTTTAACAGCCTCTCATATTCTATAATCGGCCATGTGGGCATCATTGTTTCAATGACTAAAGTTGTCACTTTTAATTAATGTCTGTCCACAAGACCCTTCAACTGATAATACAGATCACTTACTCAACATGTATTCTATAAACCCATTTAACAGCCTTGCAGTTTATGCATGCGCTTTTTAAAATCGTTCCCTAAACGGATTCTACTCTTAATCTTTAACACTGATGTCACTCTTAATTAACAGGGCTGATCATCACCTTTTCCAAGCTTCTTGCCCTGCCGAAATATTCAGTACCTTGTGTATGACACCTTGCAGTCAATTCTCTTTAATGTTTGTCATACCATATTTGTATTGCATCAAACTGACAATTCATGCCTTCCTCCTGCACTCTGCTTGTTAACCATGTTGCAAACTTTGACTACTGTCCTGTCCTTTCCTTATAAATTTATCACTTCTCCCCTCGCTTGACCTCAAACCCCCCACACTTCAAAAACCTCTCTACTGCCCAAGTTATACAACTCAGTGCAACACCTGTCCCAGTAGACTTTAAGTGAAGACCACACCATAGGTACGACTTCCAATTTCTGCAGTAACACTGCTAGTGACCCGTGAAATGAAAAAATTTCTCTCTCCAAGCTTTGAACCACACATTTAATTCTCTGATCTTATTTACCCTTCACCAATTTAAGATGAATGTAATTAACAAGTTAACCAGGAGGACCGAAAGCATTTTGCTTCTGATGTCAGTGTAAGTTTCCACAGGCAAAGCGAATATAAAAGTTTATTCATGTTAACAAAGTGATATCTTTTGGCTGATTGCTGGCTGTTCAGATTTACCAACAGGACTAACACTTTCAAAAGATCTACATTATGTCCATGTAAGAACAACACAAAAATGTTAGCATTGAAATCAAGGGAAAAAAAATGGGACAATAGTTTATTTGCCAAGAAAATTGTACGCTACTGCAGGAGGATGGGCAGAAATAATAAGATGCAGTTAGTTGGGCTGAAACTATTTTTGAGTATGGAAATATGGTCAGATGTTTCATCATGAGACATAAACAGTACATTAGAATGAGAAAATAAACTTAGTGGGAGATTTGTGTCCAATTGACATTTATAGTGGTATTGACCATGGAACCACAGAATGGGAGTTTTTGAAATGTATTGGGTAATAACAATGCTGGATATATGAAAATACAGTGTGTAGCACCTTTTGTACAACCACTGAATTATATTCAAAAGATTACTGTGAGCATTATACTTCTCTTATATATCAAATAACTACTGAGCTTCAAGTATATGAAACAGGTTCCAGATAGGGAAGAGAACATTCGAGGTCAATGGTGGGACATCATGGAACGTTAACATTTCACTGAAAGAATCTCAATTTTAGGCTGACAAAATAATGGTGTAAAATTTAAGTGTTGTCTTTCACCAGTCCAATTGTGATTAATCTAGTTCACGTTGGGCACACTCACTGTGGTTTGTCAAACAACGCTGCGCTCTAGATAAAGTATGGAGCTGGAGGAACACAACAGGCCAGGCAGCATCAGAGGAACAGGAAAGCTGACATTTCCTGTTCGTCTGATGCTGCCTGGCCTGCTGTGTTCCTCCAGCTCCACACTTTGTTATCTCGGACTCCAGCATCTGCAGTTCTTGCTATCAACACTGCATTCTATGAGCTAACAGAAATGAACTTCAAGTGAAAGAAGCGCACATTATGCAGATGTTTGTTGTAATCATGTTTTACTTTATTTAATGCTAAAGAATAACACACTCAAGCAAAATGATCTGATCCTGATAGAATCATACTCTGGAATAATATTACCCAACAAGAAATTGCAGCAATATTCATTGTTAAATACATCCAAATACTTAGAGAAAATAAATTAAAACATAGACTAGATATGACCCAAAGGGGCAGATAATGAGGTAACAGTTTCAGCAATTTGGGTGTTTGTTATCCATGAATCTGTCACATCTTTAAATAGCTGGAACCACTTTGTTTCATTTGGACCTCAACACAGTAACATAAGCCAAATAGCAGAAGTTCAGCCTTCATGAGATGGCAAAGAAAAATAAAGCATGTGTCTATTTTGCATTTCTTTGCCATCAGTAATATACTCTCTGATTTTCTTATCAAATTCAGTTCAGTGGTTCAGCGCTGAATTCAGTTATTTGCATCAACAAAGGTGAAATATCTCCATAGTTGCACTTCAAAATAGTTGTGGAACAAAAATAAAGTAAACAGGAACAAAAACAAAGTTGCTGGAAAAGGTCAACAGGCCTGGCAGCATCTGTGGAGGAGAAAACAGAGTTAATGAGGAAGGGTCACTGGACCTGCAACGTTGACTCTTTTTTCTCCTCCACTGATGCTGCCAGGCCTGCTTAGCTTTTCCAGCAACTTTGTTTTTGTTCCTGATTTACAGCACCCACAGTTCTTTTGGTTTTTAAAAATTGAGTAAAAGAAGAGTTATTGGGAGAACTGCAAGACTTGTTCTTCAGCAACAGATTTTGAAGTTTAATAATTCCACAAATAATTATTTGTGGAAAAATAACTCCAGGCAAGAGGGTAGATGAAAAAGACAATTTGTGCTGTGCTATTGTACATAGCTGACTATTAGTACATAGTCTTATTCACTGGAATTATAATCTCATCATAGTTGAATGATTGTTGCCAAATAATACTTCAAAATGAAGATGTTTCCTGCTTAGCCCACTGCCAATGTACCTCAAATTACAATGCCAACCAAGAGTACAATGAAAATCAGGAAAATGCATATTTCTGTACGAGACATTCTTGCACATGGAAAGTGTTGAAAATCAGGAAAGACTAAAGGGTGACAAACAGGTATGTAAATATATATATATTGTTACAAACATTCACCATATCTTGCTTCATTTTTAAGGCTATTTTAGATGTTGCTTTCACATAGAATACCAATTCAGATGCTCAATGTTCCAATCACAGATTATAAAAATCCTTCAATAATTTAAGTCACTTTGCAAATAATTTCCACACAGGTATTAGGGACACACAATAGTTGGCAATGCACTTTTTAAAAATGATAAATGATCAGGTATGGTCAGGAGAAATAAACAAAGATAACAAATTGAAAAATTTGGCCTTGCAGCAGTCCGTTGCATTGCAGAAAATACAACGCCCACTTCAAAAACAAAAGCCAACAGAGAATTCAGTTTTGCTCCATTACATGGATTTTTTTTGTCATACAAGGAAACAAGGTTATGAAATGTATGGCTTCATGGTGTTTGTGCACCACTAACTATGCTACCTCAAGATTGGGATATCAGCTTTCATCTCTTGAGGAACAACCATTCAACAACTGAACAGCAAACAAGAAAAAGATCACTTGAAAATCAACATATTCTTTCGATGGGTAGTAACTGTACAAATTCAAATCATCACCTTCATAAATCAGCATCCTCGGTTACTGAAATAATGACAACATTACAATTAAAAACGCCAAACCTGACAAAAGACAGTGGTTTCTTGAGAGTTTGGCTGAAGGTGCAACACAGTAGCACTGTTTACCATAATACTGTATTTTCTATTTTGTATGCTAATTCCGTAATGCAAAACCAATACCATGTAGCAAATTTTCGGCTTTCATCTTGCCCCAGAAACCTTATGTTTCCAGTTATAAGGTAATATACTTAAATCTATTTTCTTTGAGAGTAAGGTAGTTAATGACAATAAACAGCATTCCTTAAGTGAGGAAGACTGAAATGAACTTTACAACAGGGCATATAAAGTCTAAACCATCGGCTCGTGTCAAAAAACACTGCATGTTAACTTTGAGTCAACTCAAAAGCCTAAGTACAGTTAACGATGTTGGTTAGTTGTACTAATAACAACATAAAACACAAGAAAAAATGGGAAGATTCAACTGGCAAGCATACAGGTAGGGAAGGAAAGTCTTGCTGCTACAACAATTGCCTTCAGAATAGTTATTATGTTCGAACTTGGAATTTTCCAGCTTTTGTCATGTACTTGATGCCTTTAAATGGTTTATATTTCTCACCATACATGTCCAGTCGATTTACCTTCAAACCTGAGAGAAGATGGAACACAATATCAGTAAGAGGGTTTATTCGACTGAGAGAAGACAGACAATCTCACTAAGGCTTAGTCCATCGAACTAAAATTGCATTTTGTGGATGACAGCACGCAAAATGAAAGGGATTGAAAGAAAAGAAGAGACAATTAAAAAGACTCTGGCAGTTGTAAATAATCTGTATCTGGTTCCATATACCAGCAGAAAACTTATTTTCAGTTGCACTGCAAGTCATAATGATAACTGATCAGAAATCAAAATGTCACACAGCTGTCAAATGAAATGCTGTTCTGAGATCGTACAGCATCATCCTGTACCTGTATCTAGGTACCTTTGTACCTAAGATGGCACCATAATTGGCAACTTTGTAAACTTCTTACTGCACAAAGGTGAGTACATGTGACAATAAACCAAATTCTAATTCAAATCAAAATGTACTTAACTTTTCTAACCCATCACAAACGTAAATAGAATGATTAATGTTGAAACTCACTGCAGAATGCCTAAAAAATTCTGCTCCCATTCTTTTTTTCTTTATTTGCTTCAAGACAAAACATTAGCTGCCTAAAGAAACTGCACAAGTATTTATTGTTTATTTCTGTAATTCATAACAAAGACTAAGTGCAAACAAAGAATTCTTTCCAGTGCATTTAAAATTCATGTTAAGGACCCACTAAGGCATTTTTAGCCCTTTCCACACTGCACTCTATTTTATCTGGATTTTGTCAATATAAACAGTCCATTGCATGGAGTCTACTTCTCACTCCACGTGTGAAAAAAAAGAGGATTCTTTACTGCAGAGCATAATGATAAAATATTTCGTATAAGTAGAAAAATTCAACCCAAAGCTAAAAACAATATTTTCTTTACAAAATTTTAACACCTGTTCCTTTGCATGACTTTATTTGGTATTCTGCTACGGCATTTGTATTCAAAAAACTAAAAAAACTTCCATTCAAAGAACTAAAAGTTGTTTAAAGGCCAGCGAGAAGCAAGTAAAACTTTCTGGGCTATTTTCAGAAGCAGAGTTGTACTCTTAAATTTACAATATCAAAACAGAGACAAATGTGCAGGCAGAAGCACATGAGAGTGTTATTTCTCCTCAGTTACGGCCTTTTTGCCTCAAATGACATGCCCACTTCCATATGCAATGGGTTCATCTACAATACGCTCTGCAAAAATTCAGAACAAATGAAAATGTGGAGGCAAAACTTGGTAATCGCTGTCATCAAATTAAAGCACGTGTCATCAGACAGTCCTGTTCTCTGAACAGCAGGAAAGCTTCCAAGCTGAAGGAAGATATGATGGTGCATAGGGCACCCTTTACTCCCAGAATCTAAAAACAAACCACCCAACATAAGCAAACTAAAGATAAAGATAAATGTTTTTGCATTTCTTACCTGAAATTGCTAGTTGTTGTATTTTGAACTGGATATTAATATTGGGGTTCTCATCAGGCTTGGGTGTCCCTGCCTGCAGGCTCATGGAGCCTTTCAGGCTCGGCAGCTTCTGTGGGTTAATCTTCCCAATATCCCACGACAGTATCTGCAATAAGAAGTTTAGAACAAATAACTGCACTATTACAGTTTTAAAAATACTGAAATGACTAAATTTGCAGCATTGAAAAGAAAATAATGAAATTGGAAAGCAGAAACCAAATCTGCAAACATTTCAAAAAGTCCCTTTTTCCCAGTTCCCAAAAGGCCTAAAGCATGATAATAGGTGTGTGTGTACGGAAGAAAATCGAATGGTTACATATTTGGAAAGAATAATGAGGAAAGGCAAGTGCAGGAATTGACAGAACCAGGGATGTACACAAATCTTTGAAGTTGGAAGGTCAGCTTGAGAAGACTGTTGAACATACTGGCATCAAATACCAAAAGAAGGAAGCTCTGCAAAAATTCGGTAATGCTGATTCAAATTCATCTGGCATTCACCATATGCAACTCTTCATATTATAAAGCAGTCCGTGTTCATTTGTCATAAGCCTTGGACTGGTAAGTGCCAAGTAACATTCACAGTATGAGAGTGCCAGGCAACATCTATCTCCAACAAGGCAATGTAACCAATGTCCCTTGATATTCAATGTCATTTCCATTGCTGAATCCACCATTGCAACATGCTGGGGGTCTCCACCACCCAGAAACTCTACTGGATTAGCTGTGTAAATAATGTAGCTACAAAAGCAGGTCACAGGCTAGGATTTTAGTGGCGATTAACTGACCTCCTGTCTCCCAAAGCCCGTGCATCATCTACAAGGCATACGTCAGGAGTGTGATGGAATATTGTCACTTGCTTGGATGGGTGCAGAGCCAGCAAAACTCAAGAAGCTGGGCACCATGCGGACAAAGCAGCCTGCTTCATTGGGACCTTGAACAGTCTCTTCCTTCACCACCAAATGCACAACTGCAGCAATATATACCATGTACAAGATGTGCTGCATTAATTCACAAAGGCTCCCTCAACAGCATCTTCCAAACCCCCCAACTACTGCTATCTGGAAGATGATGCACGGGAACACCTCTGCCTGCAAGTTTCCTTCCAAGCCACTCAACATCCTGCCAAAGATCCTGATGAGGTTCTGAAGAAGTCATTCCAGACTTCAAACATTAACTCTCTCTTCACAGATGTTGCCAAACCTGCCGAGTTTCTCCAGTATTCTTTGCGTTTGTTTCAGATTTCCAGCATCTGCAGTATTTTGCTTTAAAGTTACTCACCATACTGACTAGGAAATATATCCCCGTTCCTTCAGTGTCACCGAGTCAAAATCCTTCAACTCCCTGCCTAACAGTTTTACAGATGCACATACACCAAATGGATTGCAGCAACTCAAGGCAGCAGCACACCATCACCTTTTCAATAAAGCTAAGCTAGTACAATGCTCACGTCCCACAAAGAATAACAAACAAGTCTCGTGTTCCTTTCTGGGATCTGTACGTTAGCAAGAATGTCATGGTCTTGGACAGGGTACAACAGAGATATACTAGAGAATGGAACCATGGTGAAAAAACTATCTGGATGAAAACAGTGGAAAGTTGTGGTTGTTCTCCAAAGAACCAAGAGTTTGACAGAAATCTTCAAAATCGTGAAACATTTTCAGAGAATAAATGAGAAAAAACTCAGTTCTGTATCAGAAGTGTCAAGATTTAAGAAGCAGAATTTACATGACTGAGCACGAACCAGAAGGATGACCATAAGAAGACTACTTTTATGCAACAAATTATGATGGGAAAGGGACTGTCTGAAAAGGAGGTGCATGCAGATTCCTGTGTAACATGAAAAAGCAAAATTGGATAAAATAATGGCAAGGAAAAATGGTGAGGTACAGAGGAAGAGTAAGGAGTGGGATTAATTAGCCAGTCTACCAAAAGCTAACATGACCATGTTAAGCTGAATGGCATTCTTCTGTGCTACATCATTCTTTTATTGATTACAATTATTACAAGTGAGACATCTCCTGATTTTTATGTTGTGTCAAGGTTTCAAATTCAAGACTGATATTTTCCACATAATGTTTTGTGGTGGTTTGTAGGAATAGCAGGGGCCAATTTTTCCCATCAAACCTGCAATTGTACTTCACTACATCCATTTATTGGCTCCAAAGATCTACAACCATCAATTATTGGCCTTTAAGTGGTTTAACTTAATACTTCCCATGCATAACTTGCTCAATGGTACAGCTTAGTCCAATTCCTTTTTTGCTCCGTGTTCCATGTTTCCATGCCATCCAGTATTCTCGATTTGTTAAACTATATTGCTCCTCGATACTTAGGCCAATTACTTAAAGCTGCCGAAAACCATTTTAAGAAGTATAATTATTGTAGTCCACACTTTCAGAGTGTGATGATCCTCAAAGGGAAACAATCATTATACCCATTGTGTAGAATTCTTAAAATCTAAACTACTTGATGTTGATTCCCATTCTTTGGGCAAATAAAGAACAGTATGACCCAAAATATTGTTCTGGATGAAAATATAATATTTAACAAGAAATACAATTCCAACCACATAATATTTCCCACTTGGCTGCTTTTCAATACTCACAGTTCCTATTCAATTATTACACATACAGAACATTTTCAAAATCTGTTGAGCTCCATTCACAATAAGGAGTTTAAAATGATTAATGACAAATGAAGAGGTGATGATCAGTGTTTAAAAGGTTAGTTTGGCCACATGTAGGGCAGTGTGTGTTGTTTTTGGAGAGAAAAACAAATTAGAGTGTTGTATTATTCAGGCAATGTGCGATTGAGAGGATCCAATTACAATGAAAACCTGGAGAAAATAAACCCATCTTCAATGGAATGGACAAAAACTGGGGGTGGCACAGGGAGAGCTTCTAATAGAAAGCCTCAAAAAAGTTTGAAAGACTTTGAGAAATTAAAAGAGAAAATTAATTTCTACCAGTTTGGTAATCATTAATGAAAGAAGAGAAAATAAGTATCAGACCTCCATTTATTCGGACAAGATCAGGAAGTAATTCTTTTCATACAAAGGATCACAAGAATTTGGAATGCATGTTAATGGCTTGTTGATTATTTTAGTATACGGAACTGATGGGTATTGTTTGATGAGGTACTGAGATCATCGATGATGGGGCTAGCTGCAAGACAGAGTGAAATAACTCCACAGAGGCCAGTATCCTGTCACCAAGTTGCCCTTTATTTACACGCGGAGTCCTTAACACTGATCCAGCTTCCTCAGAGTCAACTGTCAGACGAAACAGAACGTCCAATATTCCTGCTTATATCTGTCAGGCAGGGTTCCCTAATTGGACCAGATTAGCAGCCCCAATCAGGAACTCATATTCTATGAGGTTCAGTTGGCTGACCTCGTTACAATTACTACAGAGAGTCAGCCGGGACACTGGGATAGTTGTCAGCATGCAAGGCTGCGTCCTGTGAATCAACCTACTTTTAAAGAAAAGGAATTGTGTTTCATTTCGTCCTTACTCGTCTGGCTTGGATCCATTTAGCACGTATCGTGAGACCTGTAAATACGGAAGTAAGTGACCTTTCAAGATGTATTTAATGGAAAAAAAAAACTCGCTGTATGATTTGTATTGTTTCATAATCAGCCTTGCAAAAAAAAAAATAAGAACTAGCTTTCAACCTTCCCAGAGCTACATCAAGTTGCTGCATTTTCGCATTAATCTTGAATGAACTTTGTCATCAAAAACTTGGACTGGTAATTAACAGTGTCAACACCTTTTCGTCAGAATTCATCACTTTAGGAGGTTATGGACAAAGTGCATGTAAATGGGATCAGTGTAATTTGGTGTTTGTTGATCCACGTAGACATGATGGGCTGAAGGGCCTGTTTCTATGCTGTACGACTCTGTGACAATGGCTAAAATATATTTTAAAATAATAAAACTAAATAGATTCAAACAGTGAACTCTGAAGCTATCTGTCAACAAGTTTTCTTGTGGAGAGATTAAGTTCTAAATCTCTGGTTTCATATGCTAGCTCAGAAACAATATATTTGGAAATAAATAATTTTTTATCTCGTTTATTCTTGAATCAAATTTGTTACACGCTCATTGGTGTGCTATCAACCGTCGTTAGTGGCCGTGCCAATTTCCAATTACCTTGGTGACTGGGTCAAAGGTGTAGTTCCCTTGAGTGGAGCTGAGATTCATGTTCAGAACCACCTTTGGCAGCTGGCTGGTCACTACTGTACCTTCGATCATCTTTCCCATTGTTTGTTTGGGGCCAACGGTAATTTCAAACCGCCCCATGGAGCTGCCATCCCGGAAGGTAATGTTGTGCTTTACATAGACAGGAATAGCAACCAAACTGTAAGGTAATAAATACTGATAAAGTATTTGTATCTATTCAGATTGCTGAGATATGGTGCAAGAGAGTGAAAAGCCATTAGTACAGTCAGCATTTCTTAAATACTTTACTTTTTGCTATTTCCTCCACTCACCCTTCATTGAAGAAATCCACAAGGAGATGGCTGACAGATGCTTTTCTCTGGTCATGATGATTTTAGTACAAGGTTAAGGTCTTGAAACTTACTGACAAGAATGGAAAGGCCCAGATTTGGATGGCATGCACCTGCAGCTAGTAGAACATCTGACCAGAGGTGGCATCACAGCCAAATCCAATTCTGTCTACACAAAGCCCACTGTTACTCAAAACGGAAGCAAAAAATTCTTAAATACTCAGAATGTCAGCATCACATGCAGAGGGAAATACATTTAACATTCCAGATCAGTTCTTGAAATACATAAAAAGGAGGACATAGGCCAAAGTGAGCATAGGCCCGAGAGAATTAAGCTGGGGAACGGGGAACCAGGAAATGGCAGAAGAGTTGAACAAATTCTTTGTATTAGTCTTTGCATCGGCTAATAGCAATTATGAAATAATCAAGGGACAAAAGGAAAAGAAGAAATAAATAATGACTATCACTTCAGGGAAGATGCGAGGGAAACTAAATCGGGTCAAAGACTGATAAACCTTTGGACCTGGGACATGCATCCTAAGATGGAAGAGGAAGTAGCAATAGAGAAAGTATATGTTCTTTTCTTATGGTCTACCAGTAGTCATCTTCCAAGAATCCTTAGATTCTGGAAAAGTCCCAGAGGATTAGAAAACTGCTATTGTAACACCTTTTCTCAAACAAGAGAAGGAAACAAAAACAAAAACCAATTAGTAACTCTTGGCCAGTTAGTTAGAGTCTGTCATTGGGAAAATGTTAGAAACTGTTATAAAAGGACATAAGAGCAGAGCATTTATAGATGCATCACATGATCAAGCAGAGTCAGCATGGCATCATGAGGGGGAAATCATGCCTAACAAATTTATGAGAATTTGAAAAGGTAACAAACAGGATAGATACAGGTGAAGCAGTGTATGTATTATACTGGGATTTTGAGAAGGCAGTTGACAAGGTGCCACAGAGTAGGTTACTTAATGAGACAACAGGTCATGGTGTTGGAGGTACTACTGCAGGACAGAGGATTGGCTAACAAGTAGACGAAAAAGTTGGGATAAGGGGGCATTTTCAGGATAAGCTGTAACTAGCAGATTGTCACAGGAGTCGGTGCTGGCCAACATTCCCTCTAAGCTGCGTGGCATCGCATGCATGTTGCTACTCTCAATGTCTGCGCTCATCAGGCTGCTCGTAGCAATGTCATCCGGTTCCAGAATCTACAATGTGCCATGCATGGACTCCAGATGCCTGCGCTGCAAGACTGGTGCTGGGGAGACAACTATTTACAGAGTATGCTCATGGCTTGGATGAGCAAAGTGAATGTACAAGTTTGCAGATGACCCAACAGTGGGTGGAAAGGCAAGTGGTGAGAATGACACAGAGTCTGCAGAGAGATAGAGACAGGTTAAACGAATAGGCAAAAACGTAGCTGATAGAATATAATGTAGGAAAATGTAGGTGATGTACTTAGGCTGGAAGAACAGAGGAACTGAAGATTATTGAAATGGAGAAAGACTGCAGAAAGCTACAACACGGAGGGATTTGGGAATCTCAGATATCTTAAAAAGCTATCATTCAAGGTGGGTAATACAGAAGGCACACATAATGCTGACCTTTATTTCAAAGGGAATGAACTGTAAAAATAGGATGGTCTTGCTTAAACTATACAAACCACTATGCAGAGAACAGCTGGAATACTGTGAACAGTTTTGAGTCCCTAATCTAAGAAAAGGTATACTGGCATTGAAGGCAGTTCAGAGAAGGTTCATTAGACTTTTACTAGGTATAGAGGGACTGTCTTATGAGGAAAAGTTGAGTAGGTTGGGCATGTACTGAGTGGAGTTCAGAAGAATGAGAACTGAGCTCATTGAATTATATAAGACACTTAGAGAACTCAACAGAGTGGATGTAGAAAGGTCATTTACCCTTGTAGCAGAGTCGAGGACTGGGGACATAATCTCAGAATAAGTGGTCTCCAATTTAAGACCAAGATGAGGAGGAATTTCTTCTCCGAGGGTAATGAATTTGTGTATTTCTTTTCTGCGGAGGGCTGTTGAGGCTGGGTTGTTAAGTACATTTAAGGCTGAGATAGACAGATTTTTAATCAGGAAGGGATTCAAGGGTTATCGGGAAAAGGCAATGAAAGTGGTGTTGACGATTATCAGATCATCTATGTTCTCAATGAATGTCAGGGAAGACTTGATGCTCCAACATCTTACAGATTTATGGACGTTTCATTGCAACTACTCCATAAACATTATCTACAGGTATTGCTGAATTGCTGAGTATTTCCAGCTATTTTTGTTTTAGATTTCTAATGTGTAGTATTTTGCTCCAATGGACTGTTGCTTTTAGTTTTAAAACTGCTACACAACAGCTGGGTTTCCTGTTTTGAACAATTCACTTAACAGGAATGACTAAACATTGTTAAAAAATTCAGCATTTGCTTTTTAACCAGTCATTTGAGAGATGTGGGCATTGCAGGCTGGCCCGCATTTATTGCCTTTCCCTAGTTGCCCTTGAGAAGGCAGTGATGAGCTGCCATCTTGAACTGCTCGAGTCCATGCATTCAAATATTCATCGAGGTAGAAAGCAATTATCTTCAAACTCCACATTCTGCATCAAAAGAAATGATACCAGCTTTAGCCACACAACTTCTGGGTTGGTGCCAATATTACGTTTCACTTTTGACCTAACATTAGAACCTCAAGATGACAACAACATTTCCCAACCTTGTAGCAGAGTTACACGTTGGGTTTCCTTTCAATAATTCCAGCATCAGACTGTTCTACTGAGCAGGAATGAAGGAAGGTCGGTTGGCATGACAGAATAGTGTGCTACAAAACTAAATAATTCCATTTTCCCATTTCACAGCAGAATAAAGATGGGATGGGATGGGATGTTACACATCCTAAAAAAATTATACTAACAATGGTAAATACTCAGTCAAATTTACTCACAAAGGCGATGATATAAAGCAAACAGCAGAGAGAAACAACAATTCTATTAACATATCCAGAAAAGTATCAAAATGTTAAATTCTACCTGTCAGCTTTATTCAGCACCCCCGACTCCTGAACCATATAAATTACCAGTATAATTCAGAAAACAGAGTCTTGCAGTGGAGCAATTGCTATCTGCAGTTGAAAAATGTTCACGCTGCAAATTTCAATGTCGTCTTTGCATAAAATATTTCAAGCATTTAAGAAAATCAAAGCACTGGTCTTCATGCGACAACGAAGGAGATTCACAAGAGGTCTGCAATTTAACCTCTTCAATTTCACCCTCAATCTTGAAAATGTGCTTGTATCATTTGTAAATATTTTCTAATAACCCAGCAAGACCTACAAATAGTACGCTAGTTTTCAATTCCTACTTCTCTTAGTCACTGGAATGGAAGAGAAAACCAACATGCAGATAGGGAAAAATTATGATCATTTATCCGTGACCCGAGATTTACAAGGCCATCAAGTCTCAAAGACTAGGACTGAAATGGAATGCGTTTTCATTTTCACAAGTTTTGGACTTGCAGTTAAATAGAATACAGTATTCTTTGATCTAAAATGCATCCAAGTTACTGGCACATTGAAAGAAAAATGAATATTTGACTTGGAGATTCTGATCCAATGTTAAAATTAATTTAAATTGAAGTCAGATGAGAAAAACAAAATGAATCAGGAAGTTAACAGGAAACCCCCAGTATATTCGAGAATTGTCATGCACTGATACATAGAGGTCACATGAATCTGAACAAAACATACATTTGACTGTGTACTGCAATGTAAGGAGATTAAAAGTTCTCTCTTCCAAAAGTTTTAACAATGTTTATTTCTAAAATATCACCAATAAATGCTGGCACTTCAACTTTTTATAATCCGTATTTATGAATTGAATGTAGAGATAATCTCTATTGTAGAAAAAGTTTGCAAATTATACATAGATAGTTAGGAAAGCAAACTGTGAGGAGGATACAAACAAACAGTCTGTGAAGGAGTATAGATAGGTTAAGGGAAACAGTTGGTGATGGATTATTATGTGGGAAAATCTGACAACATTTGTTCAGCAGGGAAAATAAAACATGAAAACCAGAATACATCTAACCAGAGAAACTACAGGTATGCATGGTACATGATTCACAGAAAAGCAAGTGTTTAGGTAGAGCAAGTGATTTGGAAGGCATTGAAGTGTTGGCTTTCATTGGAAAGGGAAAAGAATGTTAAAGTAGCAAAGTGCTTTTAATACTACAGTACATTGATGGTGGAATTTGAATTCAATAATGAAAAAAATAGTCTGGAATTAAGAATCTACTGATCACCATGAAATCATTGCCGATTGTCGGAAAAACCCATCTGGTTTACTAATGTCCTTCAGGGAAGGAAATCTGCCATCCTCACCTGGTCTGGCCTACATCCGACTCCAGACCCACAGCAATGTGGTTGACTCTCAGTTGCCCTCTGAAATGGCCTAGCAAGCCACGCAGTTCTACCAATTGCTACAAAGTCTCAAATGGCATCGACCTAGGCGCTGGAAAAGAGAACAGCAGAAACAGCCCTGTTGACCCTGCAAAGTCCTCCTCATTAACATCTGGGGGTTAGTGCCAAAATTGGGCGAGCTGTCTCACAGACTAGTTAAGCAACGGCCTGACATAGTCATACTCACAGAATCATACCTTACAGACAATGTCCCAGACACCACCATCCCTGGATATGTCCTGTCCCACCGGTAGGACAGACCCAGCAGAGGGGGCAGCACAGTAGTATACAGTCGGGACGGTGTTGCTCTGGGAGTCCTCAACATTGACTCTGGACCCTATGAGGTCTCATGGCTTCAGGTTAAACATGGGCAAGGAAACTTCCTGCTGATTACCACATACTGTCCTCCCTCAGCTGATGAATCAGTACTCCTCAATGTTGAACAACACCTAGACGAAGCACTGAGGATGGCAAGGGCACAAAATGTACTCTGGGTGGGGGATTTCAATGTCCACCACCAAGAGTGGCTCAGCAGCAGTACTACTGATCGAGCTGGTTGGGTCCTAAAGGACAGAGCTGCTAGACTGGGTCTGCGGTAGGTGGTGAGGGAACCAACAAGAGGGAAAAACATACCTGACCTCAGCTTTATCAATCTGCCAGCTGCAGATGCATCGGTCCATGACTGTATCGGTAAGAGACCATCGTACAGTCCTTGCGGAGACAAAGTCTTGCCTTCACATTGAAAATAACTTCCACCATGTTGTGTGTATCACCGTGCTAAATGGGATGAACTTGCATAGATCTATTGGGCATCCATGAGGCGCTGTGGGCCATCAACAGCAGCGGAATTGTACTCCAGCACAATCTGTAACTTCATGGCCCGGCATTTCCCCCACTCAACCGTTATCATCAAGCCAGGGGATCAACACTGGTTCAATGGAGAGTGCAGGAGGGCATGCCAGGAGCTGCACGAGGCATAGCTGAAGATGAGACATCAGCTTAGTGAAGCCACCAAACAGGACGACTTGCACGCCCAACAGCAAAAACAGCAAGTGATAGACAGAGCTAAGTGATCCCACAACCAACGGATCAGATCTAAGCTCTGCAGTCCTGACACATCCAGTCGTGAATGGTGGTGGACAATTAAACATCTCATTGGAAAAGGAGGCTTCATAAATATCCCCATTCTCAATGGTGGAAGAGCCCAGCCCATCAGTGCAAAAGATAAGGCCGAAGCATTAGCAGCAATCTTCAGCCAGAAGTGCCGAGTGAATGATCCATCTCGGCCTCCTCCAGTGGTCCCCAGCATTACAGATTTGAGACTTCAGCCAATTCGATTCACTCCATGTGACATCAAGAAACGGGGAGACACTGGATACTGCAAAGGCTACAGGCCCCGACAACGTTCCGGCAATAGTACTGAAGACTTGTGCTCCAGAACCTGCCGCTCCCCTAGACAAACTGTTCCAGTACAGTTACAACACTGGTATCTATTCCAATGGGGAAAATTGCCCAAGTATGTCCTGTACACAAAAAGCAGAACAAATCCAACCCGGTCAATTACCGCCCCATCAGTCTCCTCTCGATCATCAGTAAAGTGATGGAAGGTGTCATCAACAGTGCTATCAAGCAGTACCTGCTCATAAATAACCTGCTCAGTGATGCTCCGTTTGGGTTCCACCAGGGCCACTCAGCTCCTGACCTCATTACAGCCTTGGTTCAAACATGGACAAACGAGCTGAATTCCAGAGGTGAGATGAGATGGACAGCCCTTGATGTCAAGGCTGCATTCGACCGAGTGTGGCATCAAGGAGCCCTAGCTAAACTGGAATCAATGGGTATCGGGGGGAAACTCTCTGCTGGTTGGAGTCATACCTGACACATAGGAAGATGATCATGGATGTTGGAGGCTAATCATCTCAGCTCCAGGACATCTCCGCAGGAGTTCCTCAGGATCGTGTTCTAGGCCCAACCATCTTCAGCTGCTTCATCAATGATCTTCCCTCCATCATCAGGTCAGAAGTGAGGATGTTCACCGATGTATGCACAATGTTCAACTCCCTCGTGACTCCTCAGATACTGAAGCAGTCCATGTTCAAATGCAAAAAAGATCTGGACAATATCCAGGCTTGGGATGACAAGTGGCAAATGACGTTTGCGCCACACAAATGCCAGGCTATGACCATCACCAATAAGAGACAATCTAACCACCGTCCCTTGACATTCAGTGGTGTTACCATCACTGAATCCCCCACTATCAACATCCTGGGTGGTATCATTGATCACAGACTCAACTGGAATCACCACATGAACACGTGGCTACAGGAGCAGGTCAGAAGTTGGGAATACTGCAGCGAGTAACTGACCTCCTGACTCCTCAAAGCCTGTCTACCATCTACAAGGCACAAGTTAGGAGTGTGATGGAATACTCCCCACTTGCCTGGATGAGTACAGCCCCAACAATATTAAAGAAGCTTGACACCACCCAGGACAAAGCAGCCCGCTTGATTGGCACTACATCCACAAGCATCCACTCCCTCCATCGCCGACTCTCAGTAGCAGCAGTGTGCACTATTTACAAGATGCACTGCAGAAAATCACCAAAGATCCTCAGATAGAACCTTCCAAACCCACGACCACGTCCCTGTAGAAGGACAAGGGCAGCAAACATATGGGAACACCACCACCTCAAGGCTGCCCTCCAAGTCACTCCCCATCCTGACTTGGAGATATATCGCCTTCCTTCACTGTCGCTGGATCAAAATCTTGGACTTCTTTCCCTCATGGCATTGTGGGTCAACCCACAGCAGGAGGACTGCAGCAGTTCAAGAAGGCAGCTCACCACCACCTTCTCAAGTGCAACTCGGGATGGGCAAGAAATGCTGGCCAGGCAGCGAGGCCCACGTCCCACAAAAGAAGAGAAAACAAAGGATATAAGTGCATTGGAAAAAACTGAATGTTCACTCGGCTGACTCTTGGGAAGAAGGGGTTGCCTTCCGACAAAAAGGTAAGTAGTTGGGCCTAAATTCATGGGAGCTGAGAAGAATGGGAGATGACCTTATTGAAACATCCGATTCTGAGAGGGCTTGGCCAGGTGTGTGAATTTTTCCCCTTGTGGAGAAATCGACAACTGCAGGCCACAGTTTACAAATTCGGGGGGTCCTATTTTAAAGCGAGATGTAGGAAGGAATTTCTTTTCTTTAAAGGGTTATCAAACTTTGGAATTATCCTTCAGAGTGCATTGGAGACTGGGTCATTGAATATATTCAAACATTCAAGGCTAAGTTAGATACTTGATTGATTGAGGGAGTCAAGCAGTAAAATGGAGGTAAGGCCACAATTCAATCTGCCATATGTTAATAGATGGTGGAGCAGCTCAAAGAGCCAATTGGCCTACTTCTCGTCCTCATTCAGACAATCCTTTTACTTAAAACAATAAAATAAAACAAATGAAACTTGGCAAAGGAAAAAAAGTGACTCACAGTCAGATGGCCTATTGTCAATTCATACTTAGTGATATCTGTTTCCTGCTTTCAAATGACAATTACAGCAAAATACATCCTAGTAATAAGATGAAAATTGCATTAGTCACCATTTGGCATGTAAATCTTTCAGTGAAAATTAAAAGGAAAATGAGATCTGAAAATTAAGCTCTGAACATCCAATCACCAACCACAGGTGAATACTAGAGTTAGTTCTGCCATTCATAGCTAAGATATTGGTCTCCAAGTGAAACAGAGAAAAATCTAGAAAGGGAATAAAATTGTCTTAATTCTTCCAAATCATCCTTGATCCAAAGAAGTCTAACTTACTTTTGGGAACTGACGTGGTAAGATAGGAGGCGAAAATTGCCATCAGGTGGTATGAAGGAAAGAATTCGTTCTGACTCCCAACGCTTGAAACGTACACAAGGATGGAAACTGACATCATCCAAGAGTCGAGGATTCTGCAAACATTGCAAGAGATAAAATGAATTCTCACAGATCTTTTAGGAACATCATTACATCAAAGATCAGCACTCATTGTTAGAACCATGGGGCCTCATTTGTCACCAGCCTGAACTCAACAGTTGAACTCCACGATCCTTCCTCTTAATTTACAGATCAAACCTTGACTGAAAGCCAAGCACAGTCACTTATTTCTATGATCGCACCAATGGCACTTTATTACCAGATACTGCCCAGTGTTTTAGCAGGACGACACAAATCTCGAGTCCTTTCCCACTTGCATACAACCTCCTCAATCCATCATTTGCCCAATTACTCCATTTCAACGGTCAATTCCAGACAAGAGCAACTCTCTGTTAATGAGCACCAACCTGGATTCATGATATCATATAAAAGGTAGGCAAGGAACCACCTGCTGATTGCTTTCTCCTGCCCTAAGTCACTGATCAATCAGCAGAAAAACCTGCACAATATCCAGGTTTGGGTAACTATTTGTGCCACACAAGTGCTAGGCAATGACCATCTCCAACGAGAATCTTTCCATCACTTTCTAACATTCCATGGCAATGCCATCACTGATTCACCCACAAACAACATCCTGGGTGGTGGCCATTGGCCAGAAATTGAACTGAACTCAATATAAATAAATGTGATTACAAGAGCAGGTCAAAGGCGAGGAATTCTGCACCAATTAACTCACCTCCTGACTCCCCAAAGCCTGTCCTCATTGGCAAGTCAAGAGTGTGATATAATACTCACCGTATGTCTGGATGAATGCAGCTCCAACAACACTCAAGAAGCCTGACACCAAAACAGGCCACTGGATTGGCACCACTGATGCTCAACAGCAGCAATACATGTACAAAATGCACTGCAGAAATTCACCCAAGATCCTTTTTCAGCATCTTCTAAATCCATGATTACTCCCATCTACAAGGCTAAGGACAGCAGATCTATGGAAACACCATAATTTGTCATTTCTCCTTTCAAGACCTCAAAGTATGTGACTATTCCATCACTGTCATTTATTTAAATCCTGGAACTCCTTCCCTACTATGCTAGTACCCACACCAAATGGACCACAATATTTCAAGATAGCAATACCCTACCACCATATAAAGGGCAATTAAGGATGGACAACAAATGCTGGCCCGGCCACATTTCCTGAATGAATAAAAGGAACATTGTGTTGAGCAGCATTTGGAAGAATCACTGTATGTACCAAGTGCACAGAATTTTACTCTGGGTAGGTGCTTCAATGTCAATGTCAATCATTGACTGGGTCAGTAGGACTGCTACTGAAGGAGTTGACAGAATCGTCGAGAATACAATTGCCAGAATAGGATTGTAGTAGATGACCAAATAACCAACAGGAGAAAAATTTACCTGGCCTCAACTTTGCCAATCTGCCTTTTACATTTCTATGGCAGTATCAGAAGACCACCACAAATGTGAAAACAATTTGCATGAACTGAGTAAGTTCTTCATTGTTTTGGGTGGCATGAGCACCATTCTAAATGGGATCGTATGAAAACCTGGATCTAGCAGCTCAAAAACTAGGCATCTATGAGATGCTAAGGACCATTTCAGCAGCAGTGTATTCCACCAAGATCTGAAACACGGTTGGCCTAAGCCTCATGCCACCACGGTCATCAAGTGAGGTGACCAATCTTGATTCAATGAAAAGTGTGAAAGGGAATGTTACCTGAAAATGAGGTACTACAAACCAATGAAGCATCACTACTGTACTCCATGCATGCTAATAGAAGTTATGGGTTCCACAATTCGAAGTTCTTTGTTCCTGTCACATCTAGTCCTGTTATAGAAAGGATATTGTTAAACTGGAGAGGGTTCAGAAGAGATTTATCAGGATGTTGCTGGGTGTGGAAGGTTTGAGTTATAAGGAGAGGCTGGGACTTTTTTCACTGGGGTGTAGGAGGTTGACAGGTGACCTTTTGGAGGTTTATAAAATCATGAGGGGTATGGACAGAATTAATAGCAGGTGTCTTTTCCCTGGGATAGGAGATTTCAAGAGTAGGGGACACATTTTTAAAGATGAGAACAGAGATTTAAAAAAGACATAAGGGACAATTTTTTTTTTTTTTTTTAAAAACACAGGGCGTGGTTCATGTCTGGAATGAACTTCAGAAGTGGTAGATGTGGGCACAATTACAATGTTTGAAAGACATTTGGTAAGTACATGAATAGGAAGGGTTTGGAGGGATATGGGCCTGGCGGAACTGGTTTAGTTTGGGATTATGCTCGGCTTGGACTGGTTGGACCCAAGTGTCTGGTTACGTGCTGTATGAGAGTATCAATGGTGATGGGCAATTAAAACAACACTTCAAACCTCCCTCCAAAATGATGGCAGAGCCAGCACATGAGGCAACAAAAGAAGTCTGAAGAATCTTCACACCCATCTGCAGTCAAAAGTGCTGAAGGATCACCAAACCTAGCCACTTCCAGACATCCCCATGATCTTAGATGTCAGCTTTCAGCTGATCAATTCACCCACAGGCGGAAAAGAAACGGCCTTGTATAATCATTTTGGATTAATGTTTTCTCAATGATATTTCAAATTGCTCAACCACTATGCAGCAAATCTTACCATGAAGGAGAGGGTGAGATCTGGCATTCCAGTCAGTTTCACACAAGCATCAATGACACCCTGTATTTCAGCAAATACTGTTGAACCTATAGTAAGTGTGACATCAGCATTAATGAAAACCATTCAGACATAAAAAAGCTCAATAAGAACAACATGCATGAACAATTAGGTATTTGCTTGTAAACGAAATTAACTCAAATAATTTCAAAGAAGTCAGAACCATCCAATTGAGTTCCTTTTTATTTTAAGCAAAAAAAAAAAACAACATGTGATTTTCCAGAAACCACACCTTCCATTCTGGAGGACTAAAGCTACACACAATGCCTGGTATGAACACTTTTCCAATTAGCATTGCACTTCAGAGTGGGTGTGAGCAATGAAGACCAATTGTGTCAGAGTTTTACCACTGGAGAGGTCACAACGAAACACAGCATAATGCACTAACTGGTATCCGGAATACTGTAGCACAGCTAACTGTAGATGGTGATACATTGTGGATAACGTCCAGCTCCAATTCTGAAAATGCACTGCCTGAAGGGGTGATGGAATTAGATTCAATACTAACTTTGAAAAGGGAATATACTTGTAAAGGAAATATTTTCAGCACCCTGATGCAAGAGCAGGGGAGTGGGTTAACTAGAATAATTCTTTCAATGAGCCAGTCTAAATCTGGTGGGTTGCCTCATGCTGATTCCATCAATGTAGCAAGTGCACAGCATAACAAAAATATTATGTTTCTACATTTCTAATCTTTGTAACAGCAGAAGCAATATATTGTGTATTGATCGAACATAACTTCGAGGTGAGCTGACTGGATGAGAGTCTGAAGTTAATCTCATGTCTGCAGCATAGTTACAATTCACAGGCCTCATACAATAATAGGCCTCACTGACTTGTTCAGAAAGAGGTGAGATTGCATACACATTCAGCTCAAGTGGCTAATAATATTAACCAACCAACACGGGATGAGGTTACAAATAAACAGTCAACACAAGAAACACAGAAACAGAAGCATTACCTGAAGTTAAGTAGTCACATCTAAGTGCCATTACACAAAGAATGATTGGCAGCTTGCAACATTGAACAAGACTATAAGTTAATCAAGGTGTGCCTAAGCTTCATCAGCTCACAGGTATGACACCAATATTAAGATCGAATAGTAACTCCATCACATGTCTTTTGGGGACAGCTTCAGTGATACCAATGAATGGCTTTGGGTAAAACAGAATGGATCAATGTCTACTTATCCTGCATCTGGATGAAGCATTTCAATTTTAACACTGATGCTCAGCTAGCAAGCAAGCCAGAATATAATATTTGGTTGTAAGTTTATGACTTACATTCAATGTCAACAATGTTAAATTTTCAGGCAACAGAACATAATGGGTGTTGCTGAAACGACACTGATTTTTCATCATTTTTGTTTCTATTCTTTTGTCAATTTTGAATTACAAACTGGAAATGACTTATAGACTTTGGGACAGCTTGTGGTAACAGAAAAAGAACAGACCAAACAAATTTTGTTTGTTAGTGAGACTAGGCCTGGGGGATAGTTGTAGTCTGATTCGTGATTAAAGGGATTCCAATGGATACAGTGACCCCAGGAAGATTAATCAGATAGCAGAAGTTGGCCATTAACAAACTGGGAATTGGTTCCAGCAAGTCTGGAAGAGATCCTATGTTCAAGCAGATGACAGCTACTGAATCGTAATGGAGTCCTCAGGAAGAGGAGATCACAGCGGATCCAGATTTGAAGTTTTTCTTTGAACTATGCTTTCCGAGAGATGTTTTGTGGCTATTGCTGAGACAGCATGAAGATTTGAAAGCTCTCCGACTAATCTGCTACACCAGCTTCCAGAATCCCAAAGACTAGAAAGATGAATTCAAAGCATTGCCTTTACCTGGGTGAACTGATCACATATCAGGAACAGCAGTCATGGAGTCCACATTTATGTCTGCGAACAATGAATCATGAAAGCCATTTATCTAGTCAGTGCTAACCACTAAGCCAGCAAGCCACCCCTGGGGACTGAAAACAAAGGTTGAATTTAAAGCACAGACATTAATTAGCTTACCGAGTTTTTTTTAAATTTTCTCTCTGCTAGAATTATTGTGCATTTTATAAATAGTTGTCTTTTGTTTAAGATTCAAAACTGGAATCTGAATATCACTTTTTGACAAAGTCTGGACTTTGTTATTGAAAAGCTAGTCACCATTGGGTTGACTATTTGGGGATGTCGTTGGTATAATTTTACTATGGTGTGAAGACAGATAGAAAGTCTGATTTGATTCAGCTGTCTTTCTCTGTATCGTAATGGAGTTCATCAATGATAAAGAATGCTACAACACCATCTGTACCTGATTTGTCTATGATGGCATCAATCTCTTCCACCACGTCAAAGTAGGCTTCATTGTTAGCATATCTCACTCCAGTGCGGCGCCAGGGCACCACAGACAGCTGTCCTGTGGGGAGATGGTCCCCAACATTGGTACTACCTACAAATAACACAAAAATCAAAAAGCTAAATGGCTCATCTGCTATCTCAGGAATATGTATTAGTTCAGAAAAATTGAACATTTTATTAAGTTTGAGCAGTTGCTTTTCAATTAAATATCTTTGAATTGAATGTTGTGATTCAAAGAGTGCCTGAATAAAAGAAAAACTACCAGAGAAAATTACATTAAGAAAAGATTCAGCAAAACCTGAAATTCAATATATGTTGTAATACTTCCACATGATCAAAACCTGCCAGCTATGAACATTTTTCTCTCAGGAATTCTTTAAAGATACTTCATAAGTACTCCTTACAACCTACAGTTTGCTGCAAAGGCAACAACAAAGGCAATTCATTTACTTCCAGCAAGACATAGCACGTGGATTGAAGTGCACCTCAGCAGATGACTGCAATATTGGCGATCCAATTTAAAGCATCTACTCTCGAAGCATCATGAAATACATCTACTGTACATGTTGTTAATGTAAAACATTACAGGTTGTGCAATTAGATGCAACAATGTTTTAAAATATGTTGGCAAATAAGTTGTGCAGCTTAATCGTGCAAATGGACAAATGAAATATACCAGATGTGTCAAGAATAAGGCATGATGTCTTATTTCATTGCTACCGTATGTAGAAGGGAAGGTTCCTCACTGCACTGATATTGAAGCAGTATAGTATAAATATATCAAGTAGGTCTTCAATAACCAAGTTACATTTGATGCCTGCAGGCAAATGGGACTAGTTCAGTTTAGGAAACCGAGTTGGCACGGCTGTGTTGGGCCAAAGGGCCGGTTTCCATGCTGTATCACAGTATGACTCTAATGACTAATTGGACTTTTTGAATTTTTCGAAGAGGTGACCAGGTGTGTGGATGAGGGTGATGCTTTTGATGTCATTAATTTGGAATTCAGCAAGGCTTTTTATCAGGTCCTGCACGGCAGACCGATAGCAAGAGTCCATGGGATCCAAGGAAACTTGGCTAATTAATCCACAGTCCAATTTGTGGCAGGAAACTCACGGGGATGGTAGACGGGTGTTTTACCAAATGGAAGTCTGTGTCCTGCAGGGACACACAGGGATTGCTGTTGGGCCACATGCTTTTTAAGGTTTATACAAATGAATGTTGGAAGGTTGATTAGTAAGGTTGCACATGATACAAAAATTGGTGGAGCAGTAAATAGTGAGCAGAACAGCCTTAGATTACAAGAGGATATAGTCAGGCTGTTCAAATGGGCAAATAGAATTCAATCTGAATAAATAAGAGGTGATGCAGGACAAACCAAGCAAGGGAATACATGACGAATGTTCGGACCCTGGGAAGCACTAACGATCAGAGAGACCTCGGCATGCAAGTGCATCAGTCCCTTAAGGGATCAGAACAAGTCGATAAAGTGGTTAAGAAAGCATATGGTATACTAGCCTTCATTTGTCGAGGTAGAGATTATCAGCTGGGGGAGTTATGCTGAAACTGTATAAAATGTTGGTTAGGCCACAGCTACAGCAATGGGTCCAGTTCTGCAATCCACACTGCAGGAAAGAGAGCACTGGAGAGGGTCCAGAGGAAATTTACCAGGATGTTATCTGGACTGGAGAGTTTTCGTTCTAAAGAAAGATCATACAAACTGGGGTTGTTTTCCTTGGAGCAGATCAGACTGAGAGGGGACACGATTAAGATGTATAAAATTATCAAAGTTACAGATTGGGTGGACAGGGAGACATTTTTCCTCTTGATAGAGGGATCATTGATCAATAGCCTGAAGGTTTGGAGATGTGGGGAAAGGCTTATTCATCTTGAGGGTGCTGGGAATTTGGAATTCACTGCCCAGAAGGGTGATAGAGGCAGAAACCCTCATGACATTTCACAAGTATTTACATGTGCACTTGTAGAAGGCTTTGGCCGAAATGCTGGAAAATGGGATTCGAATAGTTAAGTTTGTTTTTGACCAATGCAGAGACTAGGGACTGAAGGGCCTCTTTCTGTACTGCAAATCTCTATCACTCTAATATTTGGGAGAAGTGGACCTTATCAACTATACAGGAGTAGAAACTGCTTGGCTGATTTCTCCTCATTTGTAGACTATGCATAGGATACATGAAGACATATCATAAAACATGATAAATTCCAACTGTTTTGGTAGTTTCTCTTGCTACATGCCACAATACATACCAGTGATTGTATTCACAACAGTACGAAGAATGGTGGGAGGTCTGATCAGCTCCTTTAAAATATTAGATTCAGTTGCCAATGGGAAGCCATTGTCCAACATCTCTTCCAATACCTCATATACAACGACAACATTGTCTTTGATTGCCACTTCTGAACAGGTTCCAAAATAGTCCTAGATAAAAAGAGGATCAAGAATCATCATCAGTATTGGAAATATTTAAGATGTGGGATTTATGAAAATATTCCACCAACTTATTACAAATTACCTTTAGCTCCGATTTAATCAGAATGCAAACCAAAAATCAAAATGAAAAAGGACTGTTTTAATAGTTTTAAAACTAAACATTGGAGATAAATTAATAGCTCTTCAACATAATGTGATTATCTAATCTTCAGTTTTATATTCTTTACAAATACTGGGATTAATAATGCAATGGTGACCATCCATTGACCATTGAATCTAATGCATTGAAAGGGCTAATTAAAAATTAGCTTTCTCAGATTGATATATCTTGTGAAACCGTGCTTTCTGAATTGTAGGTGATGACGGCCTAATGCCTATTCTGTATCTTTTTTGCTTCACTTTCTCTAATTCAGCAAAGAACATAGAATTCTGGGAATTTACACAGGTCCATGTTCATGTGCCTCAACATGTTCATTAAAATCCCACATTTCATTTATATTGAATGGCCTGTCCCAAATGTCAAGAAAGGACCATTTTTATGGAATGAACAGGGTAGCACTCAAAGTGATCAATTTCGCATCCTTAATTCTATGCCATTTTTCTCAGCAGTCCAAAACAAAACTGCCTTACCAGGCCACAGGTGCGCAACTTGACAGCCAGCAATCATAGAATCATTAGGTACAGAGGATGTCCTTTGGCCCAATGTGTCTGTCCCGCCAAAAATAAATGGCGACCTGCACTAGTCCCAGGTTCCCGTCTGAGGCCCATAGCTTTGGATGTTATGACTTCAAGTGCTCATCTAAGTACTTTTTAAAGGTAGAGAGGTTGCCTGCCTCAACAACCCTCCCAGGCAGTGTATTCCAGACCCTCACCAGCCTCTGCATGAAAAAAAAAACTTTCCTCAAGTCCCCTCCAGCTCAATCACGAATGTTCTGAAATATGGAATTCCAAAGACTAACAACCCAGTGAAAAAGAAAATTCCTCCTCATTTTCTTAAAAGGGGGACCCCTCATCCTGAAACTGTCACCCTTGTTTTCGATTCTGCCATAAGGAAACATCTTCCCAGCTTCTACACTGTCAAGTCCCCTTACAATCTTGTGTCAAAAATATCAGCCCCATTCTTCTAAACTCCTAAATTTATCCCAGGACTCAACCTGGTAAATCTTTTCTGAACTGCCTCCAAAGCACGTATAGTGGTGCCACTGATACAATTCACTCAGGAAGTTGAAAGTGCCATAACAACATGCGCTTTTTCTGCTACAGAATTGGTTGAGGCCAGAACGTTGAACGTTTTCAACGTGGAAGTAAATGTTCTTTGTAGGGCTAAAGGCATCAAAATGTATAGAGCGAAAGCAGGAACGGGGTTCAGAGTTGGAAGATCGGCCATGATTGCATTGAATAGTGCAGCAGGCTCAAAGGCCTGAATGAGTACTCCTACTTTCTATGTTCCTATGTTTTGCTTGAATGATGCAGGGTGGTGCTCAGTTGAGCAATGATTAACACTTCCATTTTCTTCCCATCACAGAGCTGACCAAGAATCTCACCAAGAATGCCTTCATTCCCTGCCATTGTCTTGTGTTTGATATTTGCAAGTTAATATTCAATCTGTTTAGCTACATAACAAATGCACCTTCCTTGGCCATCAGATCCTCAGGAGAGATGAGACTCTGGCTTGGAGACATCAATGCAACCCGCTGTGTCACAAGACCTCCTTAATGCCAGCACACAGTCATGAGACAAAGAATGCAAAACCTATTGCAGATGTAGTCCTACCAATGCCTTCAACAGTGATAACATAATTTCCCTACTTTTATGCTCATGAAACATTACATTTACCTTCCTAATTATTTGCTGTACTTCTATGCTAACTTTGTTATTCAAGTACAAGTATGTTCAGATCCCATGCACCACATACATTATTTTGCTTTACTGTTCTTTCTCCCAAAGTGGACAGCTTCACATTTCCCTACACTATACTGCATATGCTAATTTTTTGACCGGTCACTTAACCTCTCTATATTCATTTGCGGACTCTTTACGTCTTCGGTGCAATTTTCATTCTTAACTTGAGTCACAGTCATACAGCACAGAAACAGATCCCTCAGTCTAACCAGTCCATGCCAAACAAACAAACAAACAAACAAACAAACAAACAAACAATCTCAAACTAAACTAGTCCCACCTGCCTGCACTTGGTCCATATCCCTTCAAACATTTCTTGTTCACGTCCTTCTTCAAATTCTTTTAAACGTTGTAACTGTACCCATCTACATCACTTCCTCTGGAAGTTCATTCCACGTAGAAACCAATCCCTGTTTGAAACAACTGTCTCATGTCTTTTTAAAAATCTTTCTCCTCATCTTAAAAATATACCCCCTCATCTTGAAATCCTCCACCCTAGGGAAAAGACACTTGCCATTCATCTTATCTATAGCCTTCATGGTTTTGTAAGTCTCAATAAAGGTCACCCCTCAACCTCCTATGCTCCAGTGAAAAAAGTCCCAGCCTATACAGCCTCTCCTGAAAACTCAAACGCTCTGTTATGTCTTGCTAGCAAATTTGGTTAAATTATAGGTTGGTCCTTTCATCCAAATCATGAATAAAGATTAGAATTACTTCAGGGCTCAGCACTGATCTCTTTTTCACCCCATTTCTTTCACATTACTAAATCTTAAAATGACCTTTTTATCCTGAATGTTGTCTGCCAGTGAAACAATCTTGTGCCATGCTGATATATTACACCCAACTTCATGAGCTCTCTTGTACAGCAGGAGGTATCTGATCAAATGTCTTTGGAAAATCCAAAAGCATTACGTTTGTGCCTTTTCAGTCTGCAAGGACCTTTGCACAATTTAAAGGGATTTTTGAAGATGACAACCAAGCCATCTGCTATCTTTGCGGCCTCTTTTTTAAAATACAACGTTGCAGGCCAATAGATCCAAGGGACTCATCCTCGAGAACTTTTTCTCTGTTGACTGACTATTTTACTTTCCTCTATCCTGTTTGACCCTTACTTTTATGCAATTTTTGGGAGACTTTTCATGTCCTCCACATTGTAAGATGGTACAAAATGTGTTCAAAGACTCTACAATCTTCTTGCTGCCTGCAGTTAATTCTACAAGTTTGTCATTTCAGATAATGTTTACTTGAGTACTTTTTTTTTTAATATACATCAGTAGGCAAGTTAATTAATCTATACAGGCAGAGCACCAGGACCATATTTTTAGTTCCAAAAGTGTTTTAAAGCAGTGGGCTTACACACAGTGTCTTCAGCCCCAAAGTATCAGGGTCACTTTTTCTTCCCTTTGATTGTTCAAAACAATCATATGACACAAGTAGAAATAAACCACAAGCATAGGCTCATAGTTATATAACTTGCTTCCTGAGGGCAGTATCACAGCAATCACATGACTTGACAGATGGTCATGGGATGTGACAAAGATTCTGCAGTGTTTCCTTAAGAATTTGATTTCACGCGCTCAGTTTATTGAAGCAATGGATCCTTAGTGACAAAGAGTGCTCAGTAGTTATCTTCGTGCAATGTACAGTTCCTGTCTCAGTATGGTCACCGTTCACCTTGAGAAAAAAACCCAAGGTTAATTTTAATTTTGTGCCTCCTCATATTGACTTATCAAAACAGCTAACTGCAGAGCAACTGAACTGGATAATCCTGTCAAATAACAAAAACAAAAGGGAGTTTAAATAGGCAGATATTACACAAAATCAGTCTGAACAGAAATCAACGATTGCAAACCTTGACGTCAGAAATCGATTCATAACGAGCTGCTCTTAAAAAAAAAGTTTCACTGATCAACTGATGAGAGCAAACTCCAACTGGACAGAACATTAATTCCTCCTGTTCTCAACAAACAACTGTTGCAATAGTCACCAGCAACATGAGCTCTGTAGCTTCTGTTACTGCATAGCAGCAGCACAATAACACTTAGCGTTAATATTTAAATGACTGAAGATCATATTCACTCTCCAGGTTGTGTTTTATTCCCTCTTAGTTAAGTTGGTATGGTGCAACACAGAAGAACTGGTAGGCTGTGCATCAGAATGAACAAATTGCAGACCTTTAGGGAAAGGGCAGGGGAAGCGTTTGAACTGTATTTTCCAGAACAGTATAAAGTGAGGTTCTCCAAGGTTTATTCTAGGCCAACTCTTTATCTTGACAGAAAATAATGATCTAGACTCGTTTATATAGACAGCACAATTTCAAAATTTGAAGAGGACAAAAAAATTTAGAAGTTGTGTTAAATATGAGGTGAACAATGATACTCTCCAAGAGAACATGGACAGCTAATATACAGAGTGGATATGTCAAAGATGATATTTAATATTGACAAGTGTGAAGTGATTATTGTTAAGAGAGTGTAGCAGGGCCTCCAACTGAATCGGCAGTGGACAGGGAAAGTTCATTCGTTCCTTTGGTCCCCTCTTTGTAGGGAGCAGTGTCTGTGGTCAACTGGGGAGGGGAAGATCAAGGCCATGGGCAAGAGACAAAGCGAAGGACTCATGAGTAGGAAGCATCTGATACTTGAGAACCAGGAAAGGGAATTTGAGCAGATGTGAAACTGATGAGTAACAAGAAACCTCACAGAGAGAGAGAAGACAGAGAAAAAAAAAAGTGAGAGAGAGCAAAAAGAGAGAGAGAGAGAGAGAGAGAATAAGAGACAGAGAGACAGCGAGGAAAAGTGAAAGAGAAAAACCAGAGAAAAGAATGAGATAGAGGGAAAAGTGAATGAAAGGCGAGACAGACAACAGTGAGAGTGAGAGACAGAGACACATCAGTGACAGTGAGCCTTTAGAACAGAAAGATTGTTTCCAATTCTGAGCACTGCGTTTTAGAAAGGATGCAATAACTTGACAAAGATTGCAGAAAATAGATCCAGGGATGAGGAACTATGTGGATAGACTGGAGAAGCTGGGGTTGTTATCCTTGGAGAAGTTTTAGAGGCATTTTGGCAGAGATTTGCGAAATCATGCAAGGTCTAGAGTAAGTCGCCAGAGAGGAACTGGTCCTTTGAATGGAAGGGTCAATTCCCTGGTAACACAAATATCAAAATAATTGACAAAAGAACACGTGAAAAAAATCGTTTTCATTAGCTTCACAAAAAAAAAGAACAGTGACTGATTAGGACCTGAAGTGCAATGCCTATCAATGCGGTGGAGGCAGATTCAAGCGTGACTGTCAAAAGGGCTGTGAATCACCACAGCAGAAACAATTTGATTTATTGATTGATTTTTTGTCACGTATAGCAAAGTTCAGTGAAATACTTGGTTTACAAGCAGTACAGGCAGATCACAGGAAGCAAGGATGTACAGATCAAAAAGTCGTAGACAGAGGCATACAGGTTACATTGCACAGGGCGTGCACTCGGCAAGACCAACGTTAGCAAGATCATTATTTGAGGCTCGAGAGTCCATTCGTCAGTCTAATAACGGCCAGAAAGAAGCTGTTCCTGAACCTGCTGGTGCGTGTTCAGGCTTCTGTACCTTTTGCCTGATGGAAGAAGTCGTAGGGCTGCAATGGGTGTTCGATTATGTTGGCAGCCTTTCCGCAGCAGCGAGTCGTGTAAATGGGGTGTGTGGAAATGGAAGGAGCGTGAGCTAGCTGAGCTACTGTTGTACACAGCAGACAAGGACATGGCCATCTTGACAGCTATTTGAGCAGGAACTATTGTAAGACTGTATCTCACCACGCCATAAAGGTGTATTCATTCCTGAAGTCTGCAGTTTGAGATTTAGTCAGTGGAAATAGCAACAGGTGGGATAAATAACTTTCAATAATCTTGGAGCAGGAGTCAGGCAACGATCTGATGATATTCTCCTCCCCATCGAACAATAAGGATCAGAAGTGGGTTTAATTGCAATGATATCAATCATCAAACAGATTTGGTGAATGGGCGTGTGCATAACAAGTGGCTGCAAAATGCAAGCTGTGAAAATGAAAACTCAAAATAATTGACTCTACCTCAAATCGATGAAATTCCAACTGGAACTCCACTAACGTGGCCACAGATGAGCAGGAGCAATCCGACAACTGACTTCTTTCGGACACTGGTACCAGTATAACACATATCAGCCATTAACATTGTTCCATTCCACTCAATGTATCATCTTGGTTTTCAACTTAGCCATCGAACTGCAAAAGGCATTGTCCATATAAAATTCTACTTCAGGAACTGTGTTCTGTTACTGCTCCTTAAGAGCAGAGCTTCTTCAGTAAAGTACTGTTATGATCTCAAGCTAAGGTATGCGGTAATTACTTGACAGGTCAGATTTTTCGTCTGGAACCTTGCTCGACAGATCATATTTTGAGTTGTTTGGTTTTTCACAAAGTGGTCTTTTGCTGAACAGAGCATGCAACATTGCGGCTTTTGTATCAACAATAAATCAGAAGTTTAAAACAGAAGAAATTATGATCAAAGACAATAAACCAAACAACTTATTTATAAACACAAATTCAAAATGTTTTCAAGCACAATAGTACGATTTGAATAGTCCCAAAACACTTTTAAAGTTTTTAAAAAAAAATCCAACATCCATATCCAAAAGCACTCGTTTTTCAGCATTCACACCAGGGGTAGAAAATCTTTCCCTCACAGCTCAGTAAGTTTAAGGTAACAGGATGAGCAAGTATGATGTAATCCATTATACACCGAAAAATGATAGATTTAGAAGGCACAAGTTTCAATACAGTGCATGCCCAACAATATTTCAGGGTTCAGGTGCATAGGTCTTTAAAATGCCACAAACAGGTACAGAAAATACTGAGACAGC